TACTTACATGGTGGAGGCAAGGTTTATGCTGCAGCCAGCCAACAGGGGCCAATCAAGATGATTTGGCTTTACTTTTGAGGAGTTACCACGTCGACCATCTTTATGTATGATGCCTGAAAATACTCAGGAAGTACTTGAGTAAATACTTTAAAAATTGATTATTTACTGAGAGAGCATCTTGAAATGACTGCTTACTTGAATCACATTCAACATAAATCATCATTTAGATCTTTAAATACTAAAATCTTTTAATCTAAGGAGTTTGCAGCATTAGCATAAAGCACTATTATATTCTCAATATACTCACCATCCATCAGTGTGCACAGTTGACAAACATCCTTTTGAAACTATCACAATGACTAAACCATATTGGAAAACATTCTGAAAACTGAATAATGTGAAATGTAATAGATTCTAAATGTTGTTACTAAAACATTGAAATAAAAGATGACAGTCTGGATGTATATTCTACACTAAAATATACACTATACATAAGCAGAATTGGATTGTGACTGCTTACACCATATCTTTGAATGATGACTAATCCGAAATAGAAGGAGGAGATTAACAGTTGGCTTTACACAGTATATACGGAGGCCCATCTTAATGTCTTTTAATCAGAGCACTAGAAGACGCTCGACTCATCTCACAGCTACAGTCTACACACAATGAGACAAGCTTAATCACATCAGGCTTACAGTGTAGCCGTGCTGTCAATAAACAGCACCCACAGCGATCCCACTCCCCACTAAAGGGGGACTTAACGTAATTCAGCATTCAGATCAACTGACAGCCAGCGATCCCGAAAAGAAAAACTTCAGCCTTCCCAGGACAACATGGTAGCGATCTGTGGGCTGAACATGGATCCGCGCTGCATCCTCTGGGCTGGGTAAAGCTGAGGGCCTCACTGTGGGTGGCCCCCGTGGACCTGGGCTAATTGTTTCACATCACAGCCGAGCGGGGCTGAGCTCAGACCACCGGCAGCTCTGATTCAGGCGGTTCAACAGCCAAACAGGGGATGCCAGGAAACACTTACAGCGCACACCCCACCCCACGCACTCGCACTCACACACACATGAACACGCACTTCACCCATCATACATGACCACAGGAGAGTACAAGGAAATTCTTTCTCTCCGCGCTGTTCGAGTGTAGCTGTCGATCCACTAGACAGCTGGAAACTGTTGTTACACCCCAAAGATGAAGAGTTCAGGGGCAGTACTCGTGTGACAATGGTTGAACAAAATGGAGCTACAATAAGGAAAACGTTGCACAAATATTTTGAAATAAGAAAAAAGTATCTTAGAGCTTTTTAAGCTCAGTGATTACTCTTTTTTTTTAACTCTGCCTGTTTATCTGCACTTGTTTGTTTGTCAGCAGGATGACACAAAAACTACAGGACGGAGTACCACACAATTTGGTGGAAGTATGTAGCATTGGTCAGGAAAGAAACCATTGAATTCCTTTTACTTTCTTTAACATTGTGAGATGGTCGATTTCCTCAGAGAATACTTCATGGATCTTGATGAAAATCAATGGGACTGATATTTATGAGTGTGTCCAAGTTGGTGCAGATGCAAATAAAAATTCCGGTCTAATGAATTTAAAATGTGGTTTCATATGTGAACTGTTGTCGAAGGTATGAGCCCTCTCACTGCACTTGTACTTGTTAGTTGGATAAGATGTGGTCTATGAAACTAGAAAAGTATTTTCTTGTATTTAACATTTAGTTATAGATGCGTCTATGATATGGATCTAAAATTTGAAAATGACCATGGAAAATGCTGCACAGATTCCCTCAACTGCAAATTAGCTCCTGCAGCAGAGTTGTGTAGCCAGGACAACCAGGGTGGACATATGCACTCTTTTCACTGCTACTCCAGTTAAACATGCAGTGGAGTGGCTCCCAGAATTTTGGCTCCTGACCCCAATAAATCCCAAAGGGAAAAAAAAGCCTTAATTAGGGCAGAGTCTGAAAAGAAAGCCCAATTTTTGTAGCAGAAAGTTATTTTTATTTCCTTTCCTGTTAATCATCTTTCAACCTCTCTGATTCATCTTGTGACCTTCTGCGGGGGAGGTCCTGAGACTAAGTTGGGAACATCTGATCTGCCATCAAAAGTGCAACTGACTGGAGCTGCCAATTTTTAATCATTTGGCCAAGGTGCTGCAATCGGGCCAAACTAACACATGATGCTCGAGAGTATTTTGGGCATCTTACAGAGAGCGACAGGAAACCATACGGGGAGAGGAAAAAGGAGGATAAACGCCTCAAAACTGCGGACACTGCAGCTGCGCAGTTTAAAGTTTTAGACCTCTGGATGACCGAGGTGCATCACGCTCCAGCTTTGAGAAGGAGCTGGTGCCATGTGGACTACACATAGATTCAGTAGTAGGGGAAAAAACAACAGGCAAACACTTCATCAGCATACAGAGCACTTTGAGCACTCGCCGCTTCAGGCCAACAGTTCTAGGATCTGTCACTAGTACAAGACTGGGAAATAACAAAATCCTCCAAGTGCACACAGGACTGTTAATCACCAGGCGTCCCGTGCCTACTGCTTTTTTCAAGGCCTGTTTGACTTTAAGTAAACACGTGCAGGAAATGTATTCAGTGGCTCTAAACATTTATATGGGGGCCTTGTGCTTCAAACTGTTTCATGGCCAGCACATCTTTCAGGAAGGTGCTTAGTGAGCCATTTGTTAAACGCGTGATAATAGGGCATGACAATGCATGGCATGCTACATGCAGCAGGGCTATATCAGGCTTATGTTTGTTAAGCCTTTAGTTTCTGTGCTCACTATCTGTGTCGTTGATAGACAATGTAACATGGCTGCCGGATCCGGATCTGATGAAACTGAACGTCTGTACATTGTAATACAGGGCTAATGTTTTCCACTCTGTGACCTATATTTCTGTGGTGAATGCTTCCTCTGATACAGGTATGAAGGGAAAGATTGAAAGTTTAAATCTAAATCTCAATCTAAAACGGAATACCCAACAAGCTTTCGACGAGTTCACGCGAGCATTAAGGAAAATCACTTCATGAGTGGCTGGATAAGTGAGCTCTCGTCTCTCCTTCCTTCGCATTTCTCCAATTTCATCTAAGAGAATATCCTTTGTTAATCTGCTCTCAATGAGCGCTGTTGTTAAGTGCTGCTCACTCCGCACTCCCAGCCAGTCATAATCCATTGTGTTGTTTGCCCCTCGCTTGGTGTACATTTCCATCGCAAATTCCAATGTGAACAGTCAATAACACGCACAGATGTGGCCATTGTAGAAGCCTCACTTTTTTTTTTTTAATTCAGAAGAATGCACTATGGTGAATTACAGCTGCACCCCAGGAAATATTTGGAGACAAGCGTTTCACTGTGCTTAAAAGCCCGAAATGATATAAAAATACATCTTTTCAAAGAATTTCGGTTAGAGGAGTTATTCTAATTTTTACACATTTTAAATCAATTCATGAAAGAATTGGATAGAAGCTGTACAACTGCACCGATGGCGGGTTTCTGCAGTTGCTGCTGTTCTGCTTCACCCAATGATCAAGAAAAAAAAAAACATATTAACCTCAGGGTTGAAATAAACATGTACGCCAGGACTTCATTTCCTCCTCACCATCTTGCTGTACTCATCAGTTTTGTAGAACACGCTACTCCAGAGTCAACATCAGTAAAAATGAAACAGTATGATAATGATGTTCCCTGACCTCCTTTAGACAGTTAAGTATAATACATGATGTTGTTGTCTCCTGCCTCCCATCTTTGTTCCACAGCTGTACTGTACATAACAGCATGAAAACCAAACACGTCAGAAGCCATAAAGCTAAACTGCACTTCATATCAACCCCGTAAGTTATAGCAAATGCGCTTTTCTTGTATGTTAAGAGTCTCAATCGTTGCACAGGCAGATACAGTTGCTTGACATGTAGCAGGAGTGTGTCCCATGCCCAGTTCCAGTGATGACAATAAATGAACTGACGGAACAATCATTGCTGTCCTTTTATGGCCACGCTGGAAAAAATATATGACATTGTTTATTTTTCCATTCGGCATCTCAAGCAAATCCAGAGCAGGAACATCTGCAATCTTTCACCCTTCTGACGTTGGAGTGAAACGCTGCTTGGGAAATAATTCATATGCTGAACTCCCTGGTGCCCAATGAAGGAAAACAACAAAATAAATCTCCCCTCTGCACTGACGGTGCCCTTAATGTATGCCATACAGGAAGTCAGCACCAGCAGAACATTCAAACTGCACAGACACAGTTTATTCTAATACTTTACTCTGGGGATTCTCTGACTTTACAAAATGAGCCTTGAAACGACTGGAAATAAAATCACACAGCTTTTAACTTAATATACGAGATCTCTCAAACACCAAAAAAAACCCTCTTTGAGAAACACTTTTGATGACTAATGTGACACATAAAGTAAACTGAATAATCTGCACTGCACAAAGGAGATGACTGTGCATATCAAAGGAGCCACAGAATGCACCCATGGTTCCATCGCATGCACAGGCGAGATGTTGACATGGTTTTTTTTTTTTTGCAACAAATGCAAAAACAACATCCCTGTGGCCCAATGACCCCAAAACCATTTCCTCTGAATGGATTGCTTTGCAAACAAGCTTTTTGATACTGTAGCATCCCATCTACTTCAAGGGCCACTTCAATCAGTGAAATCATGGGACCCAGATTTGACATATTCTGGTTTTTAATCCTGCCTGCTGTGCCACTGGGTTTGATTGTCCTGTAAATTTGGACCAGGTCTTATGTCTTTGTTCTTCACTGCACAGTGATTTGAACAGTGAAGTGCAGCTCTCGAACACACTGATCAAATGCAATGCAAGAAAAAAGACTTGTGATTGGCATGACCAGAGTTTAGCTCGTATCCAAGTTTGAGCAGAAGTTGGCACATCACCACATGTCACAGGAGCCATAACATAACAATCATCATCATCATCATTATTGATACCTTCCCCATCCCCCCAAAACTCACCGCTATGCGCGTAGAGATCTTCTGCTCGCCCTCGGTACCTTTCTGCTCCCCGTTGGACCTGCTGTACTCCGGAGGTTGCTGGTTCGACCCCCGGCCGCCCTTCGTCTTGCGGTTCCCGGGCCCCTGGTGGACTATGTTGAGCAGGTGAAGCGTGCTCTCATGCTCCCGGTCGGAGCTCTCGGCCTGACCCCTCTGGTAGCGGTTCTCGCAGGTGGAGTGGTGCCGCCTGCACAGCTCGATGCGGGCGCGCAGACGCTCCACGATGGCGTTGTGCAGCTGTGGCACCGCCGACCCTCTGGATGTGGCCACCACCGGCCCGTTGGCGACCCCGCCGGGCATGCTTCCTAAACCGACACCCAGCATGGGTACGAATGGCCCCGAAGCGGACTGAGCGGGGGTCGCCTCTCCCATACCCGCGGGTCCACGACAAGTTTAGCAGCTGAGGTCCACTGAGCGTAAAATGGACCACAGTGCGGACATGGACGAAAATAATGCGTATGGACTCGGCTATGGTGCCATGTGGAAAAGAAAATGGACTGTGCGCACAAACTCACTGGAGCGATACTTTGCGCAATTATCTCCTGAAGCTTATAATAATGATGTAAGAGATAAAAAAAAAAACTCTCTCCTATAAAGTGAGATAAGGTCAGAATGAAGTCACAACATGCTCCACATTTTAAAAAGTCCCAGTGTTGGAGAATTTCATTAGTGATTTCCTCCTCTGGGGTGTCACTGTGTCAGCTTATAATTAAAACTGTAATGATTTACAAACACGCAAAGCTGCTGGATTCACAGCTGGAATGAATCCGCTCGACCTCTGCGCACAGATAAATTATATTCAAAATGAGCCCCAATGGTCACATCCCTGGCACATTTCACTTTATCTCCAATGTGCCACACTTTATTAAAACAGACCCCCGAAGAAAACCGCTCAAAAAAAACACAAAGGCTGTCGATGATGAATTCAAAGTGAACGCACGAAAACCACTTAAAGTTCGAGACTCACGGCATTTTTGTGCGTAAAAAGGAAGCGAGTCCCCTTTTCTCTCGGCGTCTTTCTCCTTCCATCCGGATGAGGAGGATCTGATCGCGAAAAAAAATCACAAGTCACCAAGCGAAACGCAAAGAGACGCTGTACAAACCGATAGAGATCCGTCTGAAATAGTCCATTGACAAGCGTTTGTCCGTGTGGTGCACCGAGGCAATAGAGGAGCCACTACACACACTCTCTCTCACACACACACACACACACACACTCTCACACACTCTCACACACACAGACCCTCATTGTATGAACATTCCTCCTTTGACATGATACACTCGCATGAGAAGAGCTGGGTGCAAACGCACACTCTGGTGGAGAGAAGGGGGACTGACCTGCAAAAAGGAAATAACATTATGATAGTTATTGATAATAGTTGTCTCTCCTCTCTCCCCCTTTTTGTCTCCTCTCTTCCCAACCGAGGCACATGGCACATGTTTGCTTATTGTGGGAACGGTTGGGTTTCTCTGTAGTTTTCCGAGGTCTCGACCTTCCTGTGTAAAGTGCATTGGGATAAGACATGTGAGTTGGTGCTGTATAAATAAATACTATAGTGGCAGGGTTTGGATTTATCATATAAAAGCAACAAAAAGGATTCCACCCATTCACAGAGCAAGACAATATTAACAGGACCTGAGAAAACCGCCATCCTAAATCTAAAGAAACACCAAAGACAGGTAAAAAGAGATCAAATGATAATAAAACATATAAATACAAAAATACTAGGAGATGTGGCAAAATAAAAATAAAGTAATGCTATATGCTCAAAGCAGGATAAGCAAAATCCAAGATAGAAATGAAGGTATTAATTAAAAGACAATTCTGAGAATGTAAAGTAATTATGGTTTTCCTCCTCTCTTTAGTATTTAACTAATGCTGATCACTGTGGTGAATAAGTTAATGAAGTAAAAGAGGATTTAGATATTTCTACTACAAAACCAAACAGGTACATTCAGGGTTTATGTATTTTCTAGAATAACAGAAATATTGCAAAAAGAATATAACACATATTGAATTCAATTAGTCACATCTAAAGTCCTATTAAACTTAATTTGTCCACATGCCAATATAATAATGGATAATGGCTCATAATGATAATCTACAACTTGACATCTAGGTTACATTACTAAAACTTCATATTTTGGCTGATATCACATTTTCAGTAAGCAATTAGAGCGAGTTAAAGCCGAGTTATAATAAGAAATTGTGCACTCCCTCATTCTATATATAAAAGGAACAAATATGAGGCATACTTACATGTTTATGTGGTGCATGACCTCTTATTCGTCCAGAATAAACGACTGTCATTGCAAATGTATCTGTATTAAGATGCCACTTTATCAATTCACCAATAAAAGAGATGGGGTGCTGCTCTACACCCAAATTAGGTCTCTTTCAGGTCAGCGGCTCATGAAACCTGCAACCAGTGTCTTAAATGTTTGTCTAAAAGGGGGAGGTAAAGTGAATTGGTTTTGCCCTTGTTATAACCCCACCACGCACCCCCACATGCACACACACACACACACACACACACACACTCCAGTTAATTCAATGTAACAGACCTAATGACTTCAGCAGAGGGTCGTACTGCAGGGGGCTGCACACTCACCCACCATGAAGACTTCATAGTGGATACCAGTAAAACCACAGACAGTCACAGAGACAGGATGCATGTTTTTGTAATGCAGAGGGAAACTGCAGCTCTCAGAGGAAAACCACAACAACATGGAGAGGACATGTCAATGCAAAAGAGAGCCCAAGAAGAAATAAGACCCATGGGACACTGACTTGCCTTCCGTGTGAAATATCAATAATACAGTAATAATAATAATAATAATCACAACAATCACAATGGAAACAGCTTTCAGCACCTTGTTGTGGGGGTGGGGGGCTTTAAAAAGAATTTTTAGGACAACACCTCAGTACACTTTTGAATTTGAAGAAATTTGAATTCATGATTTCTTGCAGGACTGCAAAAAACAAATTATAAATGTATGTTTTTTTTCTTCTGAACAAAACAGTGAGCTTGTAACAAGGCACGATGGAACAAGATATTATTGGTTTAGCTGGGGAAAAAACCTTAGACCTCTGAATGTAGAATTCCCAGATCCCATGATATATATATATATATATATATATATATATACTCAGACAAAAGTCCAGGGAATGGTGTGTAAGAGTTTTTTTTTCTTTCTCTGCTGCTGCTCCTCAAACCAGGCGCAGATCAATACACGCACGGTCGATACTGTCCATTGTCTGCTTGTATCAGTATCACTATTATCCATCAGAGGGGGGGGGGGGGTCCTTCTGCAGGAGGTGAACAAATCAAGTAAAGAAGAAAAGTAAAGAAATATTCTTTTCATTAGTCATTTTATTTCTTCAGCTGTGTCCTCCTTGTTCAGTGAGTCAGATAATTTGTCATTAAGGTTTTTGGTTGACTAAGACACATGTGGACAATTAGTCATTTTTTATTTATGGGAAATTACAAGTTATTGGTCACTACTGGAAAATGTGACATATGTTGGAGTACAATAGAAGTACAGTCAGGTAGATTGAGAGATTGTATTTCAGTAAAAGAATAATAAATAACTGAATGTGAAATTGCCAGATGGAATGCTGCTTCAGTCATGGGGGAAAAAAATGACAAGGTAGGCAATAAAATGTGTAAGGTTTTGGTATGAACAGGCAAAAATCCACTGGTGAGTGTATCAGCTTAAAACCTACATACGGTCTGAATCTTCTAGCTAGCAGCTATGTCCTCAGATCCTTTTACAAATGCAGCTGTTATTCTTAACAACAGGGGGCAGCAGACGTTACATTATTCTATGTTACAGCACCAATTACAAATCTGAGAGATGAGTGGTTGGAGTCGTTAATGTCGGGAAACAACAAAGCCCCTAAAGTTCCCACGGGGGTGATTTTCTTTCTCGTGCCCACAAGATAAAACAGTGTCAGCGGTGTTTTCATATTCACAGAGGATCTTTAACATGAAACCTTTCACTTCTTGATTTATTCTGTGTCCACAGTTTAAGTCTACCATAATACAGGAATAAGAAAACCTTGTATTCTTGTTTAAATCCCAAGTCAACTGTACCACATTGTTACCGTCACACTGGCATTATTTGTCATATTGCTTCACAAAATCAAGACAGTTTTGCATACATCAGTGTTAGTAGAGAGAATGATTCCTCGTCGGGTCGTAGTTGTTTTTCTTCCTTTTTTTTTTTCTTCTCACAATTCCAAAAACACACAATAAATTAATAAATTAAAACACGAGCAATCTGCGAATGCTTTACAGTAGTAGCATTAAAAGTGGTTAAAAAAAAACATGGTCTCTACTGGTATACAGTACGTCAACCCAGTCCGACAGCAGATCTGTGTTTTTCAGTGTCAGGCTGTCATTTAACTTACTACAATTCACGATCTACTACAACACATACACAGCTCTTCTGCTTATGACGGGTCTCTCTAGATAATAAATTACACATCTATTTCACTTCAGAGACTAACAGGGGAGACAGGCTCTTCAGTCTTTGCTTTCCTCTTTCGCATCTTCGCCCCCATCACAGCTCGCCTGTTCAGTGCAACTCAAACCGCCAGCCTTCCCCATTTCATGTATAAAAAAGGGAATTTAACAATAAAAAAAGGAATAAAATACATGTTGTAACAAACTTAGCTTAATTTAGCCGGACCCCGTTCTCACGAAAACGTCACGTGTTCACACCTATCAGTAAAAATAATGATAGAAAGAATACAAAAGCAGTAAAAATGGTAGAAAAACATTAAGAAGTAAATCTTAATGAAATAATCAATAATACCATCGAGCACTGCGTGGCCACACTATTCAAACAGGGGATTCACCCTTCAGTGGTTCCAGCCCACAATGAAATACTGGACTTTGAGGTTGAACTAGAATCATTCAGTTGTCCTAAAAACAATATGGCTCTTCCTCGAATAATATGGCAAATAATTAAAGCATTTCTTCAAGGCAAACTTTATAGTCTTAAGTGAAATGAAAACATAAGGCAAATTAGACAGTAGAAGAGTTAAGGAAATTAAGAAAACATTCTTTCCTCAACTGTTTTTCTTTTTTAAGTGACCATGATCACTGGCAAATCTTCATCGTTTGCAGGAACAGCTCAATATTACCGAGTGCATCAAACAGTCGACAAGACGTGCTGCGAATATGTCGTTCTATTAATAATTTACACACAGGAAACAACTGCTGTTGTGTACGTGGCTATATCAAAGCCCGAAGACATAAATCAGTGAGCCGTTGAAAACATAAATATGCTTCTCTCCTCCTACTTAGCCTGAATTTATGGGCGTCTCTGAACTGCTTTATATTTACTTTTCCGTCTCCATCATCTCCTCAGTCAGTGCACATTTAAAATGAAATGCATTCGAATATTACGATTCCTCACGTGCGGCTCGTTTTCTTCATTCTGTACATTTGGACGTTACAGACTTTGTACCTGCGTTGAAGTAATCGGCCTGCCATCCCACCCTGACAGATTTTTAAATACGTTCTTAATTGAAACTGAGGCAACAGTCATGCACAATTATCATTAGGGCTTCTGACACAGGCCTTTGCATCGCTGTATTTTTTTTCCCCCTCCCTCCCTCCTCTTACCAGACATGCACTGCTAAGCTGAAATGATTGCCTGCAGTGAAAATAATCTCCTCGCTGCTTCTGCAAGACTCAGCACAAATGATGGATTGAAGTGTAGAGGAGAGAGTCTTGCCCGCATGCCAAAATTAGGAGTGCATCTTGGCATTCCTGAGACCAGTGAGCACACTCTTACGTTATATTAAAATGGTCATCGACCGGTTTAACCACTGTGTTAAATGGCAGCAACTTAAAAACGTTGCAGAAGGGGAGGCGGGGGGGGCACAGCTTCGATGAAAAAGGATTGACTGATAAGTAAGGATGATATACATACATATTATCAACTGTCCATACTCTGTTATAACAGTCTGCGTGAAGAGCTTTGGCAGGAAGCTTCACCTCTATGGCCTGATATCCTGCACGTTAGCAGTGCGCTGCAGTTGTAATCATCACGGAGAACAGGCGTGGGGTCGGTTATGGCTTTTTGTCCAAACATCTCAGGCTTAAACAAGCCCCACCAGCATTCATAGCAATGATAGTAACATGACACTGGTGACGCTTGTCTTAAGATTTTGTGTGGTTTTTTTGATTCGTACAAGTCAGTGTCAGGACTTGACCCCCTTTGCAGGTTCAGTAGACTGCCGCTCTTCGCTCCACTCCTGCATGGTGCTTTGCAGTGCCTGGGTCTTCTCCTTGTCCACCTGCACATAGTCCACCTTCTCGTCGGAGGTCACAGAGGACGTAGAGGGCTGTGGAATGATAAATAAGGCACGAGTGAGATACTGGCCTGAGGGCGGACTGCGCTGCACTGCGTTGAGAAACAAGAACAATAGCCAGTGATAGTCGACAAAAAACATCTGTTTACTTTTCTGTGCGGGCTGGGTGACCCGGGCTGGAAGTCCAGCGCTAGGTAGTCCACGTTGCCACACTTCCTGGGGGCCGGGCTGCTGGTGCCGCTCATGGCTGGAGAGGTAGACGCTGGGTTCTGCTAATGGGGGCAGGAGGGAGGTGTTACTCACGCAGGGCCCAGCGAGCTACTAGCATGCAAACAAGTGAATCATTAAAACAAAGAACACAATGTGCTCTCCTGATCTCCCCTCCGGCCATCGGGACTCACCATAGCCACATAATTCTCCTCACTGTCTGCAGAGTCGGTGCTGGTGATGCTTTGTGTGGAGATGGGTCGACAATGCTGGGAGGATATGGAGTTCATAGCCGGCCTGGAGCAAAGCAAACAGGACAGTGAGTGCATCTACCTTCTGACCTCAGGCAGAAAGAAAATAACAGCGGCAGTCTGTGCCATCAAGCTGTGTGTGTGAGAGAGAGACAGAAAGAGTGTGTGTGTGTGTGTGTGTGCGTGGTAATCTATCTTGAATGACTGATATGAGACTCACATGGGCCGTATCCAGGACATGGTGACCGGACTCTTAAATGGCAGCTCATCAATAATCCCATTGTTCTTCAGATCGAGAGGTGTTGGCTTCGCTGTGGAAAACAAGAGCAGACACTGTCAACAAAATAAAAACCGTCTGTGTTATACAATTAACAATGCAGACCTGTGGAGCTGCTGTGAAAATATAAAGATTTCAATATTTACAACTAGAGCCTGACATGTATATGAATTATTGGAGGTCGATGCCGATATTAGGGAGAAGAAAATTCCCAATTCTGATTTTTAAATCCTTATGACAAAGAAACGTATTGAGGCTT